TAATAATGTCCTAACGGGATAATCATATAAACAATACAAAGTACTTGTAGTTATTATTATATGATTTATAACACAATTGTTATAGAAGTACCTGACAAATGTGGTTTGATATTTTAACTTCTGACATAAAGTCTAGTGCATTATTAAGGTACCAGTAATATGCATGTATATTATAAGAGCTTGGTAAATCTTAGTATGATTTAATTGAAATATTTATCTAACATTTCAATTAAGATATTTAAGAATAAAAAAAATACCATAAGACTTTGCATAATGCATTTGACAATAAAAATTGCCATGATTTCATTTTATAACCATTGGCAGTTGTTAAAGTGACATATACCTTTTAACCTGTTTTCAATCCTATATTGTTATATCAGAATGAGTCCACATCTAACATTATGCTAAATTTGGAGGGAGAGCCGTATGGGGTTCTGATCCACTCCCCTGCCACCACCCCCCCCCCCCACACACACACACAGTTGCACAAGCACAATGTCCAGAAAGGAATGGAAACCAATGGATTTTTAATCCTTATCTTGCTGGCAGTGACTGAAAAGACCCATGTGACCAGTGCAAAACATGATCAGCCAGCATAATTGTGCCTTCTAATCATAGGCTGCACTGTTTACTAATCAATTGCCACATTTTATATTAGAATTTTCTTCAAATATGATGAATGGTATTGTCCAGATTGGAAAATAGACAAGTCACTTCCAGATATCTAGGGTGATAAAGGGTTAAAAGAAGTCCATCAAGGTGACTCACAAAATACTGACAAAATTACTTATAAATAAGTTAATGCTTTCATATACATAAAACCAATTAAACTTAAAAAAGCCTAAAGCCTAAAAAATGTTTGTACCATTTTGCCTATCCTCTATTCTCAATATTTCACTGTCAGATTTTGCAACTCAAACTGTAGTTTTTCGATACCATGTCACTATAATTTCAAAAATTGCCAATAATAATCGCCAATTCTGATTTGTCTTCTTCTTTTTTTAACCAATTTTGGAACAAACTATGTAATAAATTCAGCCATACTTGGAAGAAGTTACATTAAAGTCTGTCACATGACATAATGAAATTAGGTAATAAAATACAAAGGAGTTTGTTAAGCCTCATCTGATGATTATATAATCTCCATCCATTTGTTTTAGTACATAAACCTGTCAATCATTCTGCCCAGACAATTAATGTGAGCAGATCTTCATCTAGATTTGCCAATAGTTCTATTTGAAGACAGATTAGATTGTTAATGAAATGATATGTTGTTCATTAGACAGAAGCAAGTTGCTTGATTTATTTATTTGGGTTTTATAGGGATTCAACTCAAGAAAGGTTACATTTTTCCAGCCTTTTCCTCCATAGATTTCATTGCTTTTGTTTGCTGGTCATTAAATTAGTACAGTCAGTACTGGGTTACAATGCACCTGATAGCTGGTGTCTCAGCCATTATACATAATTTGATTATTGTGCAAACTGAGTTAATACAACAGGACAATTGCATATTGAGCAAACTTTATTTAAAAGAGAACATTACAATGTGAACTTAGTTAAAAGGAGAACAGCAATAGCTTTTCATGGTGCAAACTTTATCAATTGCTAAACATGACAATTCCTTCTTTGGCAAACTTTGTCAATAGGAAAACATGGCAATTCCTTCTTGTGCAAATTTTGTCAAAAGTAAAAAAAAAAGAAAATTGCTTATTGTACAAACTGTCATTAGAATAGGACAGTGTAAGCTAATTTAATAGGAAAACAGGACAATGGCTTTTCTAAGTGCTAACTTTATCTATAGCAAAACAGGACAATCCCAATGTGTAAACTTTGGTCAATAAGAAAACATGACAATTGCTTCTTGTGCAAACTTAAATTGGTTTATAGCAAAACAGGATAATTGCTTATTGTACAAATTGTAATTAGAAACTGAGTTGATAGGAGAACAGTAGAAAAGTTTTCACAGTGCAAACTTTGTCAATAGCAAAACATGACAATCCTGATTATTGTGCAAACTTTTTCAATAACAATACATAATGATTGCTTCTAGTGCATTTAACTTTGTTATAGCCAAACAGGATGATTGCTTACACCCCAGTTACACAGAGCCATTGGTGATTGATCGGTAGTTTTTAGCTCGACTTTTCTATGAAAAGGGGAGCTATCCTACTCGCCCCGGCGTCGGCGTCGGCGTTAGCGTTAGCGTTAGCGTTAGCGTTGGCGTCACACCTTGGTTAAGTTTTTCGTACCACCCCACTTTATTTCAGAAGTATTACAAGTATGGCTTTGAAACTTACCATACTTGTTCACCATCATAACCTCCATCTACAGACAAGAGTACATAACTCTGTCAAGGTTTTTGACAGAATTATGGCCCTTTTTTGACTTAGAAAGTGTATTGAGCTTGGTTAAGTTTTTTGTACCACCTCACTTTATTTCAAAACCATTGGAGGTATTGCTTTGAAACTGACCATACTTGTTTACCATCACGACCTTCATCAACAGACAAGAGAACATAACTCTGTCAAGGTTTTTGACAGAATTATGGCCCTTTTTTGACTTAGAAAATACATTGAATATGGGTAAAATCCACTTATTGCCTTAACCCTTTGAGATATTGCTTTGAAACTTTTAATGCTATTTCACATCATTACCCCCATCTGTACGCAAGAGAAGGTAACTCTGTCAAGGATTTGTTTTAAAAATTAAGGCCTTTTATCGACTTAGAATCTTGGTTAAGTTTTTTTGTACCACCTCACTTTATTTCAAAACCATTGGAGGTATTGCTTTGAAACTGACCATACTTGTTTACCATCACGACCTTCATCAACAGACAAGAGGACATAACTCTGTCAAGGTTTTTGACAGAATTATGCCCTTTTTGACTTAGAAAATACATTGAATATGGGTAAAATCCACTTATTGCCTTAACCCTTTGAGATATTGCTTTGAAACTTTTAATGCTATTTCACATCATTACCCCCATCTGTACGCAAGAGAAGGTAACTCTGTCAAGGATTTGTTTTAAAAATTAAGGCCTTTTATCGACTTAGAATCTTGGTTAAGTTTTTAGTACCAGTCCACTTTTGACTGAACTGTTTGAGATATTAATTTGAAAGTTGGAATACTTGTTTACAATCATGATTCCCAAACATGTCCAGGAGAAGGTAATTCTGTCAAAGATTTTATTTGAATTATGGCCCTTAACTGTCAATGTTTTGTATTAAAGGCAAGCACTAAAAAAGTCGAGCGCGCTGTCTTACGGACAGCTCTTGTTTTAGCCAACTTATGGAGTGAACCGATGACAACGTATTTATCACCGATATCACCTATTGGTCACCTGTTTTCCACCTATCAACTGCTATTGGGGAAAGATAAGTTTCATCGGTGAAAAATTATCGATTGGGATATTTAAACACGTCTAAAATTCTCGATCGGTGAAAATATTTTAAAAATTACCGACGGCAACCTATATCACAAGATGTGCAAGCTCTTAATCACCGATATCGCCGATCGGCCAAAGATAACCAAATATGAATCACCCGCCATATCTGACGGAAAGTGCTTAACCACTGATGACTAGCTATCAAACACCGATTAATCAGCGTTACGCCCGATTTAGCTCCGATTTACAATCGATAAAAAACCAAAAGTATTTCAGCGACCCATTCCTGTTTGAGTTTGCTTTCTGTCACTGATGGCTGTTTACACAGAAAACTAGAAATAAAATCACGCATGACAACCGATCATAACAGCGAGTAAATTTAAAATTAAATGACCGATTGGGGACCGACTGTCTGTGTAACTGGGCCCTTATCGTACAAATTGTAATTAGAGTTAAACTGAGTTAATAGGAGAACAGTAGCTTATCTTTCACAGTGAAGACTGGCCATTATCTGTACTGATAGCTGCCCAATTAAAATATAATGATATTAAAATCCTTCAACCATTCTTGAAATAAGACAGTTTAAATATTAAAGCAGTACATTTTAGTACACAATAGCATCAAATAGCATAAAGGTTAAAGGTAAACAGGGCAATTGCTGTGCTAAAAAAACCTGTGCTAAACAGGTTAAAAGGCCAAATCTTAAATGGATTAATGAGCTATTGTTCTAGAAAGAGTTTTTTTCTTTGATCTCCCAATAATTGCACTGTAATCATTACTAAAAATTAAATGATTAAGAAAATGCCTTAAACTCTTGAGAAAATTACGCTCAATTAAAGCATTATAGAATAGGATAAAACTAAAAAGTTCGAATTTAGTTGGAAACAGGGTTGTTGTTTTTATCGAGACCTATTTGATGTTGTTGGTATTTTCAGTTCATCCAACTTTCATGTAACTTTATCTCGTACAACAAATCAGTGTTCTACAATAGGTACATTGTATCTAAATCTTCAGATGAAAGAAATTGATTTCTGTTGTAATGGTTGTGCCTCTAGGTTAGAATTCTCAGAATATGTTTTTTTACATCTGATTTTCAAGTACACTAGGTGTTTTGGCTTTTGGTGAAGCATTTTTTTACCCTTCACTTCAGGCATGATGCAGTAGGCACATTTTACCTTGCATTCTATTAGATAATAAAATGTGTTGGTATTTTTTGTTATCAAACTATTCTCATATGTTTTATATTTGCATATGACTAATTGTATAGTAATGTTTGATGTATTGTCTTCAAAGTAAACACAAATGGTAAACTTTTGTAACTGCTTTTTCATTAAATCAATTATGTGACATCCCCTTTGAAGACTTGTAAAACTTAATAACCAATATAGAGCAGAGCATGATACAACTTGCTGAAGACAATATTTACTTCCCCTAGATTGGCCCTCCTTGTTAAATATTTCTACCCTAATATAGGGTAATGAATGACAGATTGGCAGTTGTTGTGAACAGAAAATGTTTGACTAAATAATATCAAGCAGTTTGAGTCTGAAAAGTTTTCATTAAATGAAAATGTTAGTGACAATAAAGAATAAATGGAAATAATTTATTAACTTACCAAATGTTTCACCAAACTCTGTATCTTTATGTCCCTGTGGCCTGACCAATCTGTAAGTAAAAAGAAAAGTCAACTGGGTAAAGCTAAGTGAAAATAAGTCATTAATATATAGACATGGAAGAGAAAGTCACCTGTGTAAAGCTAAGTAAAAAGAAGTCAGCTGTGTAAAGAAAGTAAAAAGAAGCCAACTATGTAAAGAAAAGTAAAAAGAAGCCAACTATGTAAAGAAAAGTAAAAAGAATTGACTGTGTGAAGAAAAGTAAAAAGAAGTCAACTATGTAAAGAAAAGTAAAAAGAAGTCAACTATGTAAAGAAAAGTAAAAAGAAGTCAACTGTGTAAAAAACAAGTAAAAAGAATCGACTGTGTGAAGAAAAGTAAAAAGAAGTCAACTTTGTAAAGAAAAGTAAAAAGAGGTCAACTGTGTAAAGAAAAGTAAAGACAGGTCAACTGTGTAAAGAAAAATAAAATGAAGTCAACTGTGTAAAGCTAAGTAAAAATAGTCAACTGTGTAAAGAAAAGTACGAAGAAGCCATCTGTGTAAAGAAAAGAGAAATGAAGTCAACTGTGTAAAGAAAAGGTAAAGAGTCAACTGTGCAAATGTATAAAGTAAAACAAAATCAACTGTGTAAAGAAAAGATAATCAGTTACGTAAAGTCATAGAAGAAAAGACAACAGTGCAAAGGTATATACAAAAATCAGGAGTCAAAAGTAATGAAAGTCAATTTTGTAAATTTTATCAAGAAATAAAATAATAATAGCTGAGTAAATGCAAGAAATTAATTTGATTTACATCAGTCACTATCAGCTTTGTAGAATGAAAAGAAAACATTATACTTATTTTCTATATAAGCCAAGTAAATATTTAATCCTGCACAATCAGGAAAAAATACACATTTCACTGTTACGCCACTCCATAAGAGTAGCTTTAATTGACATGAAGGCAGATTATTAACAATTTTTTTTCTCTCTTACGTAAGAATGTTAAAACTTCTATTAAGGCATGTAAAAGGTATTTGATTTTACTTTCTTTTACGTAAGAATGTTAACACTTTTATTAACGCATGTAAAAGGTAATATTACTTATGTTTTGAGGTGTTTAGCTTGACCTTTGTAATTTAGGGCTTGTTCTGTGTTTAACATCCGAGTATCATGTTATCTATTAATATTATAATTCCTAAACTATATGTACTTACTTAAATATTTGTCAACTAAATTAATGACTATTATAATATTGAAGAAAAAAGGAAATAATTAATCTGTCTTACAACGGAGCATTATTTTTGTAGACAGTGGATTTGTCAGGTTGCACTAAACATAACAAAGGTTTGGTGCAATACAGTTGTAAATTGTATTACATTATGAAGCAGTAACATTCTTTTTGCACTGATGCATCGATAAATAAAAGAGGTTTACATGCAAAGATAAAATTGACCACTATATTAACAATGCCAAGGTTTTCAAATGATTAATTAATTAACAATTTGATAAAACAAATGACACAGAAACTATTCTTATTATATACTACTGAATTTAATCTAATTGTGAATTTAAGAGTTTTTTGGCTCTCTGAAAATTTTAAAAAGCATTTCCTTTTAGTAAAAGCCTACCTGAATTTGCTAGATTTTATTGTTGTTCAGTCTCAAGGACTATTTTTTCAGTATTTTGTCAAGAAAACAAAGTCATTACCTTCCAATATGTCCAGAAACCTTCCAATTTAGCAAATTATTTTAATTTAACAATTCAGTGAGACACGTTCAATACAACAAGTATCAGATGCAGTATTATTTAAAATATTATCAGATAACAAGATTATCAAAATTGAAATCAATAAGCGTAAAATTGCAAAACAAAACCAAACCAACATACAAAAACAACAGAATGGCGTATAATTATGCACTAAAAATAATGGCTGATTTTGATACAAACAAGTTTCTCCTCTGGTAATTAAGTAAGTATAATCTGTCCTCTTATATCTTAGAAGCTTACAAGTTTAAATGATAACAGTTTCATTCAATTTCATATGTCAACTGAATGATAAATGTTTCGGAATATAAATTGATTTGGAATATAAATTTTATTATATAGATTCTGTTAAAGACACAATATTTCCCGAATGCCAAAAATCTTAAGACCCATAAATTAGTACTGATGAATATAAAAAAGTTACCTCACTTTGATAGTATGGCTACTTTGTCTGTACATTTTCTTTAAATGTATGTTTGGCTATATTTTCTAATTTAAAAGTAGTTCTATGAATTGTCTATGATACAATTACCATTGCCACAATCAGATGCCTCCTAAAATCTGAGTTTGAACAATGAGGATTTCTTTATAACACACACATTGTTTTGTATGTGATACAGTTTCTGCATCTTATAGACTTATTCCGGAATTAAGAATATTTTTGTTTTTCCCAGTTAATCTGTAGGTACAAACAAACTTTTACAGTTAAAGCTTAAAAAAAAAGTGCAACAGGTTGACTAATCTATTGTGATGGGTAGTGCACCTTGAAGAAATAATGATAAAAGTTTGTACCAGGGGATAAGCTTGGAAAAACCCATATTTGCGGAGTTCTGGATAACATCTATTGACAAAGCATAATAATGCATGAATGGTTTAATTTGTCACAGCTTAATACTAGAAAGGTCCATTTGCATGCTGCGCTACACTTTAATACTATACTTGTAATTCTTAGTTACACATTTTAATTCTATAACAAAGTTACAATACACAATTTCATAATAATATGTTAATGATATTTAATCATTATATATCAAAGGATATTTTTTAGTTTTTAAGAGCTATGCACTTTGCAAAATATGGTGTTTGTATTTTAAATTATTTTCGCTCCTAATACCGATATTTACCTCACGTTACTATAAAAGGCTTCAGTCAAATGATGTATATCTAACGATGGGGGATATATCAATACATCAAATTTGCTTGTTTATAAATTAATTCTTAACACGATAAACCATAAAATGCAGATATTCATACATTTAACTGATAGATCGGATACCTTTGAAATTGAAATCTAGTCTGTTGAAAATGATAGCAAAAAAAAAGCACCATTAAACCATTTCTAAGTTGTAAAATTATACAAATTCACTTAATTTTTAGCTTAATGAACTGTTTTACTATGATAGAAATTGTATGAATACACTGAAGAAATGTAGCATTCTAAGCTCATTGCACTATTTCTTTAGAAGAAATTCAGTAAGGAAAATATAGGCATTTTAAGCTCATTGCACCATTCCTTTAGTAGTAAAAATTATATGAATTCACCAATGAAATATAAGCATTTTAAGCTCATTGTGCCATTTCTCTAGTCGTAAAAATTGTACAAATTCACCGAAGAAATGTAAGCATTCTACTATATATAATAAAGGATGTTCCACAAGGAATATTCGGCTGTTTACTACTAATAACATTACCGCAATAATTGTAATGTGCAATATAATAATAATTGTTATTTCGGGAGTGATTTCCACTTGAGGTCTAGGCTGATACCACAAAATGTGGTTTAATTACTCGATGAAGATGTCTCACTTTTTATGATGGAAAAATTACGTTTCCTACAGCTCCTGCTAAATTGCAAAACCATCTCATAAAACAGAAGAGATTAAAGATTCTGTTAATTGATATGTGGCATTTATTGTGATATAACTGTCTTATAATGAACACCATCATGGTGATGTAAACATGAAATTAGTTCTGTGACTGCCAGTACTCTTAATGATAATCTAAGTCAATTGTTGTCTAATAAACCCAAAGAGAAACTATTAGTGCTCAGTACTTAAATAATGAATTCACTGAAGGCCTATATTCCATTAGGATAGGACAATTAATTAACCATCTGTGGGTTATTTGTGCCCATGTATAATACCCCAGAGCCAGAAGCTAGAATTCTCATCAAATTTCTTTACTGTTGGCTGACCAACTTTAAATTTTCATCTTGATATACACAAAATTGATAATGGACAGCCCCTGTATGATAAATGGAAGGTGTGCAAGTCCATTTAAGGAATTTAGTACTTTAAACTAGCAGTGATAATTAATGAATGGAGCAAAATCAAACAACAATATTCAGTGGTATTGAAATCCCTTAAAATCATAGTGTACTGTTGTAGTATTCAAATTACTGTACAGGTCCAGTAGAAAAAAATATGGGTGTTAGGGTTAAAATATTAAAACTTTCATATTTGTCATTGGATAAAGAACTATCATTCAGCACTTTTTCTCTTACAATTTTCACATGTATTTTTTTCCTTTTATCAAAATCATTTATTCATTGTTTTTCTGAGACAAGATTTGGTTACAGATACAAATTCATTATTATCTTATGCTGCATCCAAAAAAAAAATCCCCCTAGAAAATTCAATTTAATCATTGTCATTGAAAAATTAACAGATTGTCTTTGACAAAAAAAAATGATCAGGAAAATATTTTTTTGTTGTTATTTTTTTACTGATATTGAGAGGTTCTAGAATAGATTTGCTAGAGAGTGAAAATTGAAATAGTAACAAGTTTTGAAATTAATTGGTTTTCTCAGAATGCGTCAAAAACAGTTTTAAAATTTCATCATGCGGAAATTGTTGCAGAAAAAAATGCTTGATGTTTAATGCGTAAAAGCTGTGCAGGTGTTAATAATGCAAGTCTGTGGGATAATCTGGAACTTGAAAACTTTGTAATGCTCTAGTTATTTTACTTATAAGTTTGTCCCAGCCAACCCTCCCTTAGAACCCCTGTTGGGGGGGGGGGGGGGTGGTTTGGGCTGAAAATTATAACTAATTGGCAACTAAAATTTGTAATATAGCCATATTTTTGTAAATTTATCATAAAAATCACCTATGTTGAAAAGGCATGATTTAAGATATTAATATGGAAAAGTTCATACATGTATACATTTTTGTAGTCTTGAGATTTTTCTTAAACCAGTAACAGTTATTTGTAAGCATTGTAAAATAATTGTTTCTTCAACCTACAACCAATTGAATATTTTAGGTAAAGAATTATTATTAATTCGGTTAATAATCTGGCAGCGTTTCC